AAATTTTGACAAAAACTGAGCAAGTGTCATCATCAGCCCTAACCCCAATCCTTGCCTCAAATGTCATATCGCTGCTGGAAGCTTCCTCTGTGCTGGCCATAGCGCCTGTCTCTACAGCAATCCAGGCTATTTCTTTCTAACTTTGCGCAATGAGAAAGGATTCGGAATTAAAAACACCGAAGCACCGAGAGAAGAGATTATGCTTGGTGGCGTCTACGTCACGTCTACGTCGCGATGGAACCTGGCGGAGCAATAGCCATACGCAGAAATTTCTATTTAAGTGTCTAAACGTATTTGTCATGTAACAGCAATCATCTAGAGCAATCATCCATTGCTCAACAATAAAAATTTGTTCATTATTTAGAATTCAGTTCAGTTCAGTTTGCGTTTGTTGAATTAGAAGATAGCCCATCACGATGGTAGGGACTATTTTCTTAACGCGCAACGTTCACACACACACACACCCCTCCCCCCACCCGACGGGCCTGCGCCCTTGAAGAGTTTCTGGCTTTCTGCGCGCAGCGCTACCCTACCGCTACCGCTCCTCGGCCGCTGGCCGATTGCTGTGTGTTTGTGTTGTGTTGACACGTTTACTCAAAGAGACTTACTTGGCTTCGCAGTTTAGGGTTACGTAATTCTCTCCCATTGTGCAACATGTGCGAATTTTCAAATGATTATCCGGAATTGGAGGTGGATGAAAACGATCTCCTCAACTTTGACGATTTCTGTGAGATGAAGTACGCAGATCCTATCGTGCAGAGGTTAGGCTTCTTTACAGTAAGTGTTATGTTCATCTCTTCTCTCCTCTGCAGCATGTCTCGATATGCAGTCTTCCGTACTTACCTCAACCCAAGGCTCGAACTTTCGAGCCTTGCGACTGACTGAATGCGACTGCCCGAGCAGTCGCGTGCCCGACTGCCGGGCTCCTGGGCGGCCCAGTCTGGCGCGACTGCCATTCAGTCGGAGTGACTGCCGTTCAGTCGCCTGCGACTGCCGGCTCAGGGCGTGGCATAGAGTAGCGCAGTGCCACTTCAGCCTCGAATGTAGGCAACCCAACCAACTTCCCCCCACCATGTCAACGCGCTCGCTCTCTGGCCAGTCGGTGCCCGACTGACGGTAGTCGCGTCAGTCAGTCGGAACCCCCGAAAGTTCGAGCCTTGCCTCAACCGTCTGTGTTCCTGTAGGTTCGTCTCCGAAAAGATGTGAAGATGGGGACATCCTTGAAGGACCTCATTACCAAATTTAGTCAAGATGTTCAAGCATCAGTTAAGGAATTGACTGTGATTTAGCCCAGGAAAGATCTTCCAAAGCGAGGAAATTTTAAATAGTAAGCTGAAATTTGGTGGACTTATGCATTGAAGTGTGTAGATCACGAATCCGTCGAGTCCCACCTTGGGACTGGTGGGGAACACCCGGTATTGAACACGAAAGGGCGTAAGTGCAACTTTGTACGAAATCGATGATATCAACTGTCGTTTTCAACCTAGGAAGCTGCAAATAGCATCAAAATGACCGGGAAGAACTGAGGAACAAATCTGAACCCCTGTTGTGGACATGAATGCCCTATACCCCGCTTAAAAAAAACAATATTTGTGAAAAATGTTAGTACCGGTATTGTGCCTTGGCGCTTCTCAGGCAAGGCTCGAACTTTCGGGGGTTCCGACTGACTGACGCGACTACCGTCAGTCGGGCACCGACTGGCCAGAGAGCGAGCGCGTTGACATGGTGGGGGGAAGTTGGTTGGGTTGCCTACATTCGAGGCTGAAGTGGCACTGCGCTACTCTATGCCACGCCCTGAGCCGGCAGTCGCAGGCGACTGAACGGCAGTCACTCCGACTGAATGGCAGTCGCGCCCGACTGGGCCGCCCAGGAGCCCGGCAGTCGGGCACGCGACTGCTCGGGCAGTCGCATTCAGTCAGTCGCAAGGCTCGAAAGTTCGAGCCTTGTTCTCAGGTCGTAGCAAATATGGCAGAAGAGTAACGTAAAAATTGTTCATTGCAAAGTTGTGCGCCCATTCGTCACCTTGATGTCGATGTTTTTACTTCACGGGGGACTTGAACCATTGAAGAGATATGAACCCTAAACTAGCACGATGTATGACCCTCGGAGCGCGCTCCCGCCTCCGCTCCGGCCCGCCGCCCCCCTCCACCGCGCAGCGCTCTCTGTCTCTCCCGCCCTGCTCGCAGCGGGTGAGAGAAGGACAGCGCACAGCCCGCTCGGCCGGCCCGCCCGCCAAGAGCGACATTTATAATGTTAAATATTTAACGTTTAGAAAGCA